TGTCATGTGGTAATACAGGAAGTGCTCCACTCTGTTTTTAAACTCCATACACCTTCACTAGAATCATTTGGATCATTTGCTGCCCTCAGTACATCAGAAAATATTGCAGTCTTTTTGTGTTCTGAACAAAAGACAAAATGAAAATGTGGCTACTCTAGTGTATAACAGTTCAATAGTTCAATTCAAGCTAAAAAAAATAGCTGTTAACTTTAAAACCACCGCTTGATGACATTATAAGGTGTATCAGAGCATTTTGAGCTTTGAAGATGTAGATAGTCCTGTAACACAGAATTACTCAAACATGTGCGCATAATGCTCTGTCAGTGTCTCATGCAGCAGAATAAAGGCAGACTTTAGCCCCAGAGTTGGATTGTGTTTGTTGAGTTTTTATTTGAGTGACGTGGCATTTCAGATACACTGTCAGCTTCAGCCCTCAGTCTGACCCCAGTAAAACAATGTGTAGAGCACTGGCACTTTATGGTAATTTAACATGACATTAGAATACAGTGAGTGATTACAGCCAGAGGTCCTGCTTTGAACGTGGTAAATCTAAGTCTGCCCATACACAGTAAGTGAATGAGAAAGTATCTGTATACAACTCATAGACTCATATACAACTGTATAATAGAAGCGGATGAAAAGGAGTGGACATCACCCACAGCATTCAGCTGCAACCAGAGGAACTCAACGAGGCTAGCAGTTAGTTACTAATCTGCAACCAGGGCCCATATTTAGTAGCCTGATTCATCAGCCAGTTTCACTTCTTGGAAACCATCTGATCTTGCAGCATTAGAATTAGATCGCTCGACGGTAGGCAGGTAACCAAACGCTGCTATTTGATCGTGACGTATGTAATGCACTGCTAACGGTGCTAACTGGTATATTACGCTTTTCCCGAATCCCGTAGGAAGAAGGGCAATAATGTCTTTGCCCTTGATAAAATTCACCAAACATTCTCTTTGTTCCGGCTTTAAATCCTCGATCTTGGGAATCGTTGCCAACACAGAATGTCTGGCTCTTCTCTGATTGGCTAGTGCCCGGACTTGCACTTCCAGGGTTCTTGCAAATCATCTACTGTATTCCGACTCCTGACCTACTCGCTGGAAATTGAGCGGAGACACTAGATGGCACCAGCCTGGCTACATATTTAGAAATCCGAGTGTGAATCTAAAGAGACAATGAGGAGTTAGGCCTTTGAATGTACACGCACTTTCTCGCCGACTGGTTTGGTAGGGGGCAGGCCCTTAGCAACGAGGCTGTCAATCAACCTGTTGCTAACGTTAGTGGGAGTGACCTTGGGGAAAGCAGGTGCTGGATTGGTCTCTTATAGATGTTGATATCTTGATTTATGGACAAAATAGTGAAATAAAAACTCCAGGATCATATAGAGCAAGATAATATAAACATTTTAAGACCCAAATGACAATTTTAAGACCCAAATGACAGCAGCAGTTACAGAGAGTAGAGTATTTTTCTATAGACGTTAACTGCAACCAGAGCTAGAACGAACCACTTAGATATGCCCATTCATATATACAGTCTATGATACAACTATTTGGATTAATCACAGCTATTCTATTGAAGTAATAGTCAGCTAATTTAGCAATTGAATGATATGTTGTCTGGAGTACAAACAGACAGGTGCTGAAAGGTTTTGTGAGTCAGACAGAGCAGTAATTGCACCAAAGTGACACAGGAAAAGTGTAGTGTTTTTGAACAACCAAAATTGTCTTTATATAAGCACAATGTCCTCAAGCGGCACAACTTCATCACAGGGGGAACATTTAATACAAACATTAGTCTCATTCTCATTAGCCTTTTAAGAATGAACCAATTAATAAAAATACAACAACAAATGAAATAAAAGAAAAGAAAACAATTTACAAGTTAATCAATTAGCAAAATGATTTAGTTTCAACCTTCTGCAATCATCAGTCAATCTGCAATTAACTGTGGGAACAGGCTATGGACCTCTCTACTTTTTATATGGTATAAAGACAAAAACTAAGAAATCAAATTACAAATTTTGATTAAATTATGTTTATCAAGGTACTGCACTTTAAAAAATGACCTGGACAAATGTCTGTGCCAGGTTTTGGAAACGTAGCCTTTTCTCTATTTCCTGGACAGATTGACATAGATATATGGTAAAAAATATGCAATACTTATTCAATACTTATACTATTATGTGCATAAATTTAATTATAAAAGTACAACTCAGTGACATTTAATGAATGAGGCTATGAAGAAAACATTGTGCACATACAGACATTTTAAAGTGCCCACATTACTCTATTTTCTGATCTATGTTTTAATGTAGTTTCCTCATCAAAAACAGACCTGGAGTTGTGTTTTGTTTCATTTACACATGTTTAAGACACAAACCCTGCACATTTATGATGAGTTATTCTCTCAAACAGAAAACAATATTTCACCTTGTGATGTCACATGACAATACAGAAAATGCTCTACTGTGTTTTTAAACTCCATACAGCTTCACTTGAATCATATGGATAATTTCACTTCATGATATCACAAATTGGAACAAAAATGGGTTATTCAAATGTGTGAATGAAACAAAACACAACTCCAGGTATGTTTTTAAAGAGATAACAACATTCTAACATGGCTTAATGCTCACAAGAGTCACTTTCTGTAATATAGCCCTTTTAGTTGTAGGTATTAGCCTATGGTAGATACATCACATCAAGAGCACATCAACATGCCTAGCCGATGCTAAAAATAGATCATCGCTCTAACTCTATTAAGAACTGAACTTTATGTTACTTCTAATTATAATTTCTGCCAGTAATGTTCTGTGACTCATGGCCTGCTTCCCCCCAACCCCTAAGTAAGCCTCCAGCCCCTAGGCGCCATTAATTCTGCAAGGAGACAGCTAGTAAGTGCAATCAAAACACTCTTCTATTTACTCACAATTTTCACCACGGCAACTCTGTCTTTTGTCACTTTTTTGGGCTTTTTGGACATCTCTCCAGCTCTGAGTGCACTTCACTACACTGGCCCCCTCTCATTGAAGAAAGCAGTCCAACATTACAGCTGTTTTCTGATAAAGTGGGTGCTGTTCTGCTCCCTGGGAAAGATTATTGTTGTGCTTTTGTTTGGATGGAGCGATGATAACAGTGATGGTGATAGCAGGCCCGCGCTGGTTGGCCTTGATTTCTTGTGTTTTAGAGATATGTGCCCCAGTTTGCAGTCTGCTAGTCTCTTCGGAGGAGAAACAAAAGAGGGGGACAAAAAGCTTCCACGTACAAGACAAGATGATGTTGTTGAAAATTGCTGAAATTTGAATTGTCAATGCGATTTTTATTCAGAATGATTTTTGTGAAATTGTAATATAGTTGTACTGTAAACATTAGAGGTTGACTGATGTTTTTTTTTTTTTTTTTCATGGCTGCTGCTGATTATCTAGAATCCAGAGCAACTGATGGCCAATGGGCTCTGGCAGTATTTTTGGGCTGAGGTGTGGAGCCAATTTAGATTTTCTCCCACAAATAAAATAATTCACATTTACTAAAATCTCACCCAGAGGCTTTCCCCCCTCCCACAAACCCATAAGAGAGCTGTGTTGTCATGTTTTCAGCAGTGATCTATTTGCACAAAAGTGTTCAAATAAAGCTTTATGGGTATTTTACTTCATGTCACCCAAAACAAAATACCATCCTGTGCTGGAAATTAAAGGCTTATAGACAATTAGCTACAAAGTCCAATTATTGGCCAGCAGATATTTTGGTCTGTCACAAAAGTCCTTTTCTCATACACTTCTTATATTCTGTTACTACATTCAAAACAAAATTGTACTACCTGGCTTCAGTCATTAAAACTTTGGCTATCAATGAACATAACAAGACATTCACTGGTCCATAATTCCACAGTGTTTTATAATTTCTTAAAGGAGGAATACCATCTGCTTGTCTCCATAGAGTTGTTTTTGCTTTGCTTGATTCCACAGTATGGCTTTAGACTCATCTGTTTTTTATTGCTTAACCCCTTAACGCCGACTGTCACAAATATACAACAAACCGTTTTGGATCAAGATATAAGACAAGATAGTGGCTGCATTCCCCCAAATCTGGTTAGTGCATATGCAGGACCTTCCTTGGAACCTTTGGCAATCATTTGTTTCTCGTTGTCTCAAATTTGCAACATATCCATATTTCTATATCTATTTTTTATTTTTTATTTTTTTTGCTATAGTCAAATTAATAATCTCAACTTAATTTACCATCTACTCAAAGGCAAAAACACACACAAAACATTTTTTATATACATCTATATAAATTCAAGCATTAAGGCGGTTAAAACAGGTAGGAAAAATATGCAGTCTTACTGTAACCAGGGTCTCCTTTCCACAGATCTGACTTGTAACTTAGCCTAGTGCACTGGCTTGGTGCTTAGTCTGGGATAGTTGAGATAAATGCTGTACACTGCAACATTCCTAGCAAAGCAATTACATCTTAGTGGAGACAAGCAGGTGGCAGACCCTCCACCAGAAAAGTTATTATGTAGTGCATCTTTAATTTCTTTATCTATTCATTGCTGTTCTATAATTCTTTGAAGAATTTAATTTCCCTTCAACAAAAACCTCTTTTCATTGCCCTGGTTTTAGCTGATATTAGATATTGGCAGATGATTACAGCCAGCATTTCATACTCTAAACTAAGAGGGCTGGATTGGTGTGTCTCTAATATTTTGCCATAATAGTCTTATGTATAATAAAAATAATAATACTTAATAACAACCTCTTTTAAAATAGAAAAAGCAGTATTCTTCTCCCCATGTGCAGGTGGACAGCAGCCTTGGTGTATTTTTAAACCCTCTGATGGATAAGAGGAGGGAACAGGCTGGCCAGAGAGTTGCAATAATTAATGAAGGTTTTTATAGAAAGCACTGGGCCTGCTGACGAACACGACTGCCCCTCTGCTCCCAGACTCTTCTCTGGCTTCAGTTTTCACTTTGTTTTGTTTTTTTCTTTTCTCCAGGCTCAGGAAAACGTCTTTGTAGAGTTCAACCACCAGGAGCTGCTTGAGTTCTATAACAAGGTCTGTACTCCCACTAAGTTCGTGTCCTATATAAATGTTATTGTCAGGTACCTTTACAATATCTATACCTTAATTAGTCTTAATAAAGCATGAACAAAGAGTTAATGCATAGTGAACAGTTTATTAAGAATGATTCAGGCTTTGTAGTTGCTTAAAAAAGAGGGTAAGGAGTTAGGGTACTGATAAAGTCGTTACTAATCATTCTTAAAGGTGTTATATTACACAAAAGTAACTCTTGTGAGCTTTAAGCCATTTTTTAATGCAGTTACCTCATCAAAAACATACCTGAAGTTGCATTTTGTTTCATTCACATGTGTTTGGGTAACTCTTTATTATTCGGTCGTCTTATTCTCCAGAACTCAAAATACTCTGTTCTACCTTGTGATGTCATAAAGTGGTAATTTTCAAGTGTTAAGGTTCAGGAGAGATTGGCAATTCGAGGGTTGTAATAATCCAAATGACTCTAATGAAGCTGTATGGAGTTTAAAAACACAGTGGAGCATTTCCTGTATTACCACATGACATCACAAGGTGGAACAGAGCATTTTCTGTTTGAGAAAACTCTAATTATGCAGCGTTTGTGTGTTAAACATGTGTGAATGAAGCAAAACACAACTCTGGGTATGTTTTTGATGAGGAAACAACATTATAACATAGATTTATTTATTTATTTGTTTATTTATTTGAGACAGGGACAGCACACAATTTATACATTAACCTTGACAGGAGAGATGCATTGTACCAGGTTGTAGCACCAGTGCTAATTTCTACCTGTAGTCCTGGGCAGGTTCATTGATTGATTGTATTTAATTGACCTTAGCTATCAACTTTTCTTCCTGGAGACCAATGCAGCATGTTTTGGGTTGGGTCAGAAGATAAGCATAAAAAAAGACTTGATCCGTAATGAATATTATGTTAAGATGTAGGCCTAGTCATTGTCGTCCATATTTAACTTTGCTCCAGGGCTGGCACAAGCTATTGATACTTTGAAGTTGATGTCACCAACATTCCCCGGGGGTGTGATGCTACCTGAAGGCACTACTCTGTTAGAAGCTCTGTTACTCAAGTTAGACTTTAATGTGAGCTTTATTTTAACACAGTCTGAACAGAAAGAGCTGGCTTAGCTGGAACTACAACAGGTGAGATGATTTGTGCCCTTAAAAAAGTCTCCTGCTCGTAAAATTGGACCAATCTAACTAGCCAACAGCTTTTCAGTTTCTCACACTCACCTTTTTGTTGAAAATTAAACACCTAAACAGGACCATGAACGCTCTGACTGAAAATGTGTTGCTTGAATCCATTTTATAATTTTTTCTATCTTAAAACTTTTTTCACAGTGTATACTAAAGTGTGCATTGTGTCACCCAGACAAATGCTGATCATTTCACCGATAGAGATACACACAGATACTATATGATGTAATGTCACTGCAAAGTATCAATAGACAACTCAAACTACTGACCACCTCAAAAAACCTACTGCCTAATACAAATACACATACACCTTTAGTTTCAGTCTGCTCACCAAAATCCAGAAGGCTAGAACCGGGCCTGCTGTAAAATAGTTACAAACTTGAACTTCTAACTATGATATTTTTTCTCTTTTGTATTCCAGCTTGAAACTGTCCAAGGCCAGTTGGATTCCCTGACATGAAGTGGGGTGGTCTTTGCTTTGACCACGCACCTGCACCGGGCTGTTATTGCTGCAAGTCTAAACAGCTGCTCTGCTCCACCAGTGCCATTTTATTTCTGATTCATTACAGACAAATTGTGACCAAATCTGAATACTAGTACGACTAATACTACATGTGTTTTTCTGTCTTTAAGTTGGAAACTCTTTGTTTGACTGAACTATGATAACAAAGCTACAAAACAATATGTCCAGTCAGACTTTCTTCTAGGGATACATTGATCTGACTTTTTCAGTACCGATACTGATTTCTTTTTAGCTTTATGTATCTGCCAATACCCGATATCAATAGGTACAAGTGCAGAGACTGAAAATAGCATTAATTTCTTTTGGAAAAAAGTAAAATAAGTGCCATGTAGCTGTTATTTATCTCTCAAGTAACCACAGAGTCAATAAAAGTTCAAACATTCTTTCTTACAAACCATAATTAGTCTTCTTGCATCGATTTATATGTTATATTATATATTTTCAGAAGATCAGTGCATCCCTCGTATCCTAGTAACTATTTTGTCCTTAAGTAGTTTTATAAAATATTATCTCACTTGTTCATAGTGATTTGTTTGCTTTTTGTGCATGCTCCCCATAAATAGTTTTCACATCCTCTTAACAGTATGCATAGTATCTTGTATTTAATGTACATTTCACATTAAATAAATAACTTTTTTCAGTTTCATTTGCTCATGTGATTGTTTATTTACGTGGAGGATTTGTAGTTAAGTGTTACTCAACGAAACACTGGAACCACATCAGTATAGAGAAGAACTGAAGAAAAAGTTGAGTCCATTCCATAAAAAAAAAATAAAAAAAATAAAACTAGAATAACTGAAGTATCCTCCCAATCTGTTGTTGTTTGTTGAAGCTCATTATTTCTCATTATAACCAACCTGGACTGCTGCTTTAACAGATGGGAGTCCTGGGAGGCATGGCGACCATCATTGGCTGTGAGTTTTGTGTGTGGATTTGGGCTGTAACATGTCCAACTGCATCTGTCTTTATTTTCTCTCCAATGTGAGTTTTTCCAGGTGTTGTCCTTACCATAGTTTTTAGTTGATTGTGTCCAATTTTGTTTGTTTTTGAGTCGTTTGAAAAAAGGTTTTAAATTTGGCAGGAGAAACATTGTGAAATCTGCCACCGCTTTCTATAAAACAAGGCTTCACAAACAGATCACTGTTGCTACATTAACTGTTAAAGGGACAGACCAGAATTTTGGACATAGGACCTAATTTCCTAGTGAGCCAGAGTGTTGGAGATGTATGGAGACACTGTTTTAAATATTTCCCCCAGTCCTTGTATTTGCAGAGGTCGCTGGTGCTAGGCTAGTGCATGTCAATGGCCATAGTTAGTCTGCCACTAAAAACAGTCTTACCCACTCCACAAAACACCTGAAGCAAATCACCAGACTGTTGATGTAAATGTCTGTGTTGATAGAACAATGTTTGAAATAAAACTAACCTTGCATCGCATGAACTGTTGCATGTTGAAGGACTATTTTCTCAGCATCAGGCAGGTGTTAGGTGATATCAGTCCGCCGCTGCCAAGCTTTCTGCCAGGAAGTACAACTCACTGCTGCTCCTCAGACATAAATTCTTCAAATGCAAGGTTGGTTTTATTTCTAAAGTTATTATATCGAGACAGACATTCACATAAACAGTCTGGCATAATAATAGATTTGCTTCGGGTGCTTTGTGGAGTGGGTAAGACTGTTTTTACTGGCACACTAACTATGGCCATTGACATGCACTAGCCTAGCACTAGCAACCTCTGCAAATACAAGGACTGGATGGAATATTTAAAAAAGTGTCTCCACACGTCTCCAACACTCTGGCTCACTAGGAAATGAGGTCCTATGTCCAAAATTCCAGACTGTCCCTTGAAAGGTCCTATATTACGCAAAATTTACCCTTATGAGTCTCTTTAAGCCATGTTAAAATGCTGTTACTTCCTCAAAAACATACCTGGAGTTGTGTTTTGTTTCATTCACACACAACCTTTTATTATAAGTCTGTCTGCATCTCCAAAGCTCAAAATGCTCTGTTCCACCTTCTAATCTAATGCTGGATGAATGAATGAATGCTGAATGAATAATGCTGAATAATGCACTGTAAAGCGTCTTTGGGGACAGAAAATGTCTGTGAAAAGCGCTATATAAATAAAGACTTACTTATTTCTGATGTCATGAATTGGTAGTTTTCAAGTTAACTGCTACCTTTTACTTTTTGTTCAATAGAGATAGTCGATTCCAGGGCTGAAATCATCCAAATTAATCTAATGAATTTGTATGGAGTTTAAAAACACAGTGGAGCACTTCCTGTGTTACCACATGACATCACAAGGTGGAACAGAGTGTTTTCTGTTTGAGAGAAGATATCCAGGGTTTGTGTGTTAAACATGTGAATGAAACAAAACTCCAGGTATGTTTTTGATGAGCAAAAAACATTACATAGATCAAAAAACAGCGTAATATGAGTAATTTAAAGATGCACTGTGTATCTTTTCTAGTGGCGTGTCTACCAGTTGCTTGTCTCCATGGAGATGTTATTGCTTTGCCTGGAATGTTCCTCAGTATGGCATTAGGTCACCTTAATACTCGAGATAAGTCACACACTACACTTTTAAAATGTCAAAAACCTTTTTAGTTTAAATTCTTTCACCGCCTTATTTTTTATTGCTCTAGCCTAGGCCACTTTGCAGTTCCCTTCTACTGCTCTTTTCCCATTTTCTGTTTTAAGCCTTGGTTGCAGTCTGCCATTCTAATTGGGTAATTGGCAGGTGGAGTGCACAACTTAATACAGATATCACACCCACTTCCACCTTGTAAAATGTTTTATTTTATTACTCACTTTACTATGAGAACTCTGCCTTGAACTGGGGCCATAAATACCTCTAAGTACTATATTGGATCATGTAAACTGACAGGTATTGCTCTTCATAAAATAAATGTGTACTTGCTTTAGAATATAATGCCTCCATAACTCATGCCACAGCCACATGAAAACAGCTTTTATCATTATTTTTAACAGTTCAAAAGAATAACAACATGCAACAAAACAAACCAAGTTAAAGTCAAATGACATAATCTCGGTATATTTTCAAAAAGCATGGACATTGTTAAAAAAAAAAAAGAGGCTGCAAATAGATAAATATATATCTGCAGATGTGAATTTAGAGCATACTACTACGTTTGGACAAGTAACTGACCCATAACCAGAGTAGCAGGATGGGTCAAATGCAGTGGGCGAGCTTTTCTATGTAGCCTATTGACCTTATTGTGACCAGCCTACTTTTGCTTTCAGACACTTTCCTATTCATTTCAATGGGGAATTTGAGAGGCTTGCATTTAAAATATGATATAAAATAGGTTGGTTTGAGTAAAATGTTCAACGTACATGTGTACCAACAAGTCAACACTTCAGTGATTTTCTGAGAGGCTTTAAAATGGCTTTGTATTTAACTAGTTTATTTTAAACAGGGAAAAAAAAGGTAAATGAATAAATTTTTCAATAATTCAAACCATCAAAGTAGCCACTAAACATTTTTTTCTTTACTACATAATACTGCATCTTGCTTCATATATTTGATGATGATAAGGCATGTTTCCAAAATGTAGAAAGTAGTAAAAAAATCTGTATCTATATATGTGTATGTTGAAACTTTTGACTGGTTGTGTACTTACATATTCTCAAAATGCAATAATGTATGGCTGAAATATTAAAATAAAATGCAATGAAACATTTTTAAAACTTCCTTGTACAAAACTATGGAGTAAGTCACTTTTTAAGGAGAACTTTTAAATATACCATCACTTAACTTAGTATTTTTTGATAGAACTTCATGCAATAACTAAATTCTTTCTGTCATTAATTATGAATCTAGTGTCTATTCTCCAATCGGCCCTCGCCCACAGCAACAGTTAACAGCCCAAATCCACTCTGTGCCACCACTCCAACCCTTTTTACACCCATGGAGTATTTTCTCGTGTTTGTGGAGTTGCCTGAGGCTTGAGAGCTCCCGAACCCGGGCGGGAGAACAGATGGACAAGTGGAAGCGTGCGGGCCACTTGGAAAAGAAGAGGAGCTGTGTTTGGGACCAGCAGCACTCTGCCCCACTGAGAGAAGCTCCAAGGCTCCGTCTCTGCATTTACTCCTCTGGTCACGCTGCATAAACGGAATATCTGACTCAAAAGTCCAGATTTTTGGATGTGTTTCAAGCAAAATGGGTATTTCAACTCATGATTTGTTTATATTTTCTACCATTTAAGTGCGTACTGTAATTTCTCTAGTGGAGTGTCTGCCATGTGCTTATCTCCATGGAAATGTGTTGGAAACTGCTTTGGCTGGAAAGTTCCACAATACAGCATCAAACTTTTCTAGCTTTTATTTTATGGGTGTTTTACTTGCTCTATTTTACTCTAAAAACATGTCCTTGTGACAAGCTAACCTCTTCACAGATCTAACTTGATCTGGTCATGTCACCTGGAAACAAATAATTTACATGTCATGGATTGAAACATTCAAAGAAAACTAATAAACCAGAGCAGAGTTTTGCCCTCACAGTAAAACTAATAACAACTAGCATGCTAACAGAACACCAGCCTTACTTCCTGGTTTGCAGACGATAGAAATGATTATAATTAGATGTAGACGACACACAGCAGCTTCATCTTGACATTAGACATATGTATGGTTGAAAAACAAGCACCACTTCTTTTTCGTTTACAGTGCACTTCTGTTCTTCAGTCGGGGATGTGAGATGTTCTCAGGAACTGTGGACATGTAACCTGAGTGGTGTGAGCAGAGCAGGTGTTGTGTGTGTGTGTGTGTGTGTGTGTGCGCGCGTGTGTGCGTGCGTGTGTGGACCTGTTTTAATAAGTGTGTGATGGAGTGGTCTCTGTGAGGCTGTAGTCCCACTGGGATCACACGGCGACTCAAGACACGACACGCTGAGAGAGGCCCAGAAAAACTAGCTACATGCAGGGCCAGAGGAGAGAGGGAAGTTATTGACAGATAGTGAAGAAAGCGAAACCAATAAATTTCAAATGGTAGTTTGTTCTGTGTAATTTCAACGTGTTCATTTTTAGACCTAGAGTTTAAATTCCACTTCACTTTGTTCCATGTACTTGAGCAAAATGTGTCTTGCCCAGTGCAAAAATATTACATAATAAAGTTCATGAGGTCAAAATAAGTCTGCTTCTAATTATAAAGCATTTATTATCTGATAATCAGGAAGTGCATGTTAGCACGCTAATTGTTCTTAGCTTTAAGGTCATGCTCGGATTGCATAAGGCAAGTAAGGGTTAATTTTGGACCAGTGCTAACACTTTAAAGGGACAATTCAGAATTTTGGACATAGGGCATCAATTCCTAGTTAGCCAGAGCATTGGAGATGTGTGGAGACACTTTTTTTCTCTTGTATTTTCAGAGGTCGCTGGTGCTAGGCTAGGGCATGTCAATGGCCATAGTTAGCCTGCCAGTCTTACCCACTCCACAAAACACCCGAAGCAAAACAATTATTAAGCCAGACGGTCGATGTGAATGTCTGTGTCAATAGAATAATTTCAGAAGTATAACCAACCTTGCATTTTAAGGATTTATGTCTAAGCAGCAGCAGTGAGTTGTACTTCCTGATAGAAAACTTAGCAGCAGCGGACTGATATATGAGAAAATAGTCCTTCAA